AATTGCTTACGATTGGCAAATACTTACTGGCTGTACCATTGGAAGCCGTGGATCTTTAAAATCCTGCGTTCTTTATTCTACTTTTGCCTCCGGGTTACTGTCGTATACAACCGTTCTGTGTGAATTCTACACCAACGTGTTTCCTTTGGTGTATTTTTCGAGCTGTGCTATTTGCTGGATATTCTATGGCTATCTTTGTAAATCCGACTTATTGGCCCAACCGCTGGCTGACTCCGTCACCTTGCCTGCACCTGTGGTCTTGTCAACTAGTGCAGCTGCATACCCCTGGGATCGACACGCAGCCGAATCAACTGCATCAACCGCTCACCTAACCTTTACAACCTTTAGTTCCGCTTGACTAATGCATACCGCCACGGAAATCGGAAACCTAATCAGTAATCCTACGGGATCAGGTAACGACACCAGGCTGAATGGCAAACCTCGAGTAAGTGCACATCCAAATGGGCTTTAATCTAAGAAGGTTTGCTGCTCAGAAGACTGTAAAGAAGTAGTAATCCTGGGGTAAGATTGCTTGCTTTGTTCAAAGCGTTACCGTCCAGTGTGCTAGCTTATCCCAACATCAGGTTGGAGAGATGAACCGCTCTCAAGATATCCTTTGGTGAGTTACTACCTGTTCAATCAACCCACTTGTCAAAGCTATGCTTGTTCTTGTCCAGTAGTGCAACCGGCTGGTAGCAGTAGCCGAGGAGTGATTGAACCCTAAGACCATCGCTAAACCAGTTAAACCTAGGGTTAATTAACCAAACGAAAGGTGCACCGTGATCAGCCAGGTCCCGATCTCCGTAGTCTACCCCATCTTTGGCTGAACACCAGACGAAAATTGATCGTAATACCGAGAGGCAAACAGTGCTCGTGTCAACTAAATTCAGGCACCAACCGAAACGTGTGGGGAATAACATCCAACTAGCCTTGATGACATCTGTAGGTGAAAAGTACAAAGCAGCCCAACCGCAACCATCAGCAGCTGTAGCTCAGGAGTCTACTGTTGGGCCAAAGTCCCCCAGAACATCAGTCACATATGCGCGATAGCTGCAACGTTCACTTGGGAGGCCTACCTTTCCGTCTGTTCTGTTACAAACACCGCCAACTTGGATAGAGAGACAAACGCTAACATATCACTACTTAGTAGCATGTCAGGACAAACGATAACCCAACCTTACAAGTTAAGAAAAAAGTGGGCTCACAATGGCGCCTTGACGGGTGCATGCTCGAACGTGCCCGAATCAGCAGCTATAACACAGCAAGGTAGGTTTTCCGACGACCTAAAACAATGGGAGTCAGTGTACCGCCTGACGAAAGTAAAAATCAAACCCATATACTTAGTATGAATTACTCGTCATCCGAATTCGGTACACTTTGGGGAGCCAAGACATATGAGATTAACACTAGAACCTTCAAGTGATATGGATAATGTTCTGCTCACCGCAAACGTGCTGCAACGTTGACTGTATAGGAGAGTATCCGTGGAACATACGACAGTCGAAAAGAAACTCCGCGGAAGGACACAGCCAAGCTCGATCGCCTTATTGCTATCTTCTTTCATGGTGTGCCAGAGCTTCCTTCACAAAATAGTCAAGAGGCAGGAACACACGCTTTAGAACAATGGCTTTATCCACGAAACCCTTTACTTGGATAATACTGTGACGCAATCAATAAGAAGATTAGCGCTCTCGTCAACTTATAGAGGATACGGCCCGAGAAACCTAAAACTTGAGGTTCATTTCGAGTAAGCAACGAAGGATAGGTTACATAGCTGGCGCACAAATCGAAAAAAGCTTTCCATCGGAACTTTGATTAAGGACCGAAGTTGCTTCGCAACGTCCAGTTACAAAAGCATCTAAAAAAGCAGGCGTACCGGCGCTAACTGCTCCTTTGTTTGATACTGATGTAGATCTAGATGTGCGCTGGGAAGCGCCTTGGCCAGTGCAAGATAGGAAGTAGTATCAGTAACTCATCAAAAATACGAATAACGACCGACCTCACATCGGTCGGCAGGCCCACACACCTGAATTCCTTGACCCTCTTGATCTAGTAGAGACCGATAACCTAGCCTGCTTGTACAAGGCTGCTCAGGGCCTCTTCAGTAAGCTGACTGAACTGATCGGCAAGTTTTCCAGAAATATGAAATCATCGGCATCACCGAGATGTGTTTGCCCAGTAAAATGTATGGAAGCTGAACTTTCGCTGCTTAGCACGTCACTCATTAGGAACGACAGGCTGACAAAAGGAGGCGTAACACTGTAGTACCGAAGCGACTTACACTGTGAGGTCATAGAAGGTCCAGATTCGCTGATGCCTTATTCGCTTTGGTGCGGGCTAGAGTTAAGAGGCAGAGAGGCTTGCCTTTTAGCCTTGGTGTACCGCCCCCAACGCCTAATCTGAAACGGACTACCAAATGGCGACTGCTCTATGGTGAACTCTAAAAGGAAGATACTCCCACGCCTTGACCATGCGTGCTTTCAATGTACATGGTTTGGTAATCCCTGCCACGAGCAGAACACAATTTAAAGCCGATCTGCAGAAGCTTGTGCCCAGTGTTTCGTTTTATAATCATGTCAATTCGCCTACTAGGTTCAGAACAGGTATTAGACCAGCTGTGCTTGAGCTTACCAACAAAGAACATCCGGTCGATGCTTTGGTTGTAGACTACCGGTTAGGTCTCCTTGATCACGCAGTTAATGGCTTCAACCATCCGCTATGCAGAATACCGAGCTGCGGCCCATGAGATAAAGCGAACCATAAAATGCTACGGTCAATTAGCTCACCTAAGCAGTACCACTAACTGGTCCTTCCTCGCCGAAGTCCCCCGGGTGTCGCCTGGCTCGCGTTTCTAAACAAATTTACTCGGTTGGATACGGAGGCTTCAGTTATAAAGGTTTGCAAACGTTCTGAAACACTTACTTACGTAAGGAGCAGAACCCGAAAGTTGCTGGCAGTGGGCAACGCAGTGTGGCGAAGGCATACATAATCCCCAACACCAAAAAGTTGAGATAACTAAGTAGCTCAAGGAAACTACTGCGCTCGGCTGTTCAGAAGGAACAAAGCAGCACATCAGCAATATGGCAAAGACCTTCAGCGCCAAGCATAACCTACTGTGAAAGCACGTCAATGGTCTACGAAATTTGAGGCAAGGAGCTCCGCCACTTACGATGGCTGGTGGCCCAACACGAACGGCTTTGAAAACAGCAAACGCGAAGTACCACGGTGACCTGTACTAGGACCGGGACTATTTTTGATGTATACTAACGATGTTATAGGCTTCATAAACTCAAACTGCCTTCTTTATGCCAGTGGCATCAAGATATGGAGGGCTACCAATACAAGAGATGACATCGCAGTACTTCAAGCCGATGGATAGGGTATACACGTGGTCAGCCCAAAATTCAGTCGACTCAATGGGGACAAATGTAGAGTGCTTTATCTACGCAAAAACTTGGTGCATTCCTACAAACTCGGCAACCATGAGCGTCTAACTTCTTCTGGCGTGAATGAGCTGGGAGTTTTTGTCTAGGTCGACCTTGTACGTTCGAAGCAAGCTGAACCTGTGTGAAGGAATAGCATTTAACACGTGGGCCTCCTGAGGCGTGCAATCGGAGGATTCGACCCTCTGACTGTTCCACAAGATCCCGGATCATACATAAGGCCACGTGCGGAATATGCAATACAGGTCTGGCAGCCATGGCTAAGGAGAGATATTATCGCAT